TTTCATATGGGCCATTTTTTTTTGTCTTGGTGTGACTGTTTTTTAGTGAGGGGGTGGAGCCTTGGGGATTTGCCAGGGCAAGGTAACCCATATTGCTGTGTTGCAGTGCTGTATGTGGGGGAGGAATCTTGGCAGGAACAATTCTGCTTGCTCAGGTCTTATCCAGCTTTTAAGTTAGTTCCTCCACTGCCCACAAGCAAATTGGGCCCTTCTGGTGCTGATTCCTGATTGGATGGGTTTGTGTATATTCTAGAACTCTGTGGGTCTCTCCAATTAACTCTCTTGTGAGACTGCGAGTTTCTCCCACTGCCACAAGCCCCATAGGTTTTTTCAGAGGTTTTGAGGCTTTATTTCCCTGCACTGGAACCCTGGGTTTCATGGTCTGTCTCACTCCCCAGTTGTTCCTCCCAGTATATCTGCATGCAAATGTGGGACCACCCACTCTATCAGGTGCTGTCTTACCCAGTCCGCCAGCCAGTGCCTTGCTGCATTTCCTCTCCACCTCAGCTACCTGTCTCCATCCCTCCTACAGGTCTGAATGAATGTTTGCTCTTTAACTCCTTGGTTGTCGGACTTTCATACAGTTTTGATTTTCTGGCAGTTCTGGTTGTTTTTTTGTTTTTAAATTTGTTGTTGCCCTTCTTTTGGTGAGAAGGCAAAGTGTATCTACCTATGCCTCCATCTTGGAAGGAAGTACCAAGGCCAGTATTATCCTAATTCCAAAACCAGATAAAGACCAAACAAAGAAAAAAAATTATAGGCCTATAGGGCTGATGAACATAGATGCTAAAAGCTACAACAAAATATTGGCAAACCAGTGAAAAGATCACACACTATGATCAAGTAGGATTAATCTCGGGGATGCAAAGATGGTAAAATATATGCAAATCAATAAACGTAATACAGCACATAAACAAATGAAAGGCAAAAATCACACGATCATATCAATAGATGCAGAAAAAGCTTCTGATAAGGTACAGTACTCATTTATGATAAAAACACTCAGCAAAGTGGGAGTAGAGGGAGCATATCTCAACATAATAAAGGCTATTTATTAGAAACCTAAAGCCAACATCATAAAACTCCAGGCAAAAACTAAAAGCTTTCCCACTCAGATTGGGAAAAAGATAAGTGTGTCTACTTTCAACACTTCTATTCAACATGGTATTGGAACTTCTAACCACCACAATCAGACAAGAAAAAGGAAAATAAAAGGCATTAAAATTGAAATGGAGTAAGTAAATCTGTTACTTTGTGTAGAAGACATGATAGTGTAGTACATAGAAAACTGCATAGATTCCACCAAAAAAACAACTTGACATAACAAATTAATTTGGCAAAATGGTGAGATACAAAGTCAACATTCAGAAATTGAAGGCATTTTGCAAACCAATAATGAAATATTAGAAACAGAAATTAGAAAAGAAATCCCATTTACTACAGCAACCAGAAAAATAAAATACTTAGGAATAAACCTAACCAAGGAGGTAAAAGACCTGTACTCAGAAAACTATACAACACTGAGGAAAGAAATTAAGGAAGACACAAATCAATGGAAGCACATGCTGTGTTTATGAATTGGAAGAAGAAACGTCATTGAAATGTCCACACTACCCAAAGCAATTTATAGATTCAATGCAATCCCTGTTAAAATACCAATGACATATTTCAGAGCTACAAAACAAACATTTCAAACATTTATATGGAACCATAAACAACCATGAATATCCTCAGCAATCTTGAGGAAAAAGAACAAAGTAGGAGGGATCACAATGCCTCACATCACACTACATTTCAAAGACACTATAATCAAAGCAGTCTGGTACTGACATGAGAACAGACACATACCAATGGAATGGAATAGAGAGCTCAGAAATAAACCCATGTCTATACAGTGAATTAATATTTGACAGAGGGGACTAGAACATAAAATGGAGTAAAAATAGCCTTTTTAATAAATGGTGTTGAGAGATCTGGATAGCTACATGCAAAAAATTGAATCTCAACCACCAACTTATACCATACACCAAAATAAACTGAAGATGGATAAAAGACTTAAATAAAATTCATGACACCATAAAAGTCCTAGAGGAAAACATAAGCAGGAAAATTCAGGTATCCCATGCAGCAGTATTTTTACTGATAGTTGCCTTAGAGCAAGGGATATAAAGGAAAGAATAAACAAATTGGACTACATTAAAATAAAAAGCTTCTGTATGGTTAATGAAAACATCAATAAAATAGAAATGGAACCAACCATATGGGAAAATATATTTGCCAACTATACCTTAAACAAGGGTTTGATCTCCAAACTATATCAAGAACTCACATGACTCCACACCAGGAAGACAAACAATCCAATTAAAAAAATGGGCAAAGGACCTGAACAGATACTTCTCCAAAGAGGACATACAGAGGGCACTTAGACACATGAAAAAAATGCTCAACATCACTAGCCCTTAGAGAGAAGCAAATTAAAACCACAATGAAATACAGCTCCACACTAACGAGAATGGCCATCATAAACAAAGCAACAAACAAGTGTTGGAGAGGATGTGGAGAAAAGGGAACCCTAGCACACTGTTGGTGGGAATGCAGACTGGTGCAGCCACTGTGGAAAACAGTATGGAATTTCCTCAGAAAACTAAAAATGGACCTGCCTTTTGATCCAGCAATTATGCTGCTGGAATTATACCCTAAGAATCCTGAATTACCAATTCAAAAGAACCTATGCACCCCAATGTTCATAGCAGCATTATTTACAGTAGCCAAATGCCAGACACAACCTAAGTGCCCATCAATAAATAAGTGGATTAAGAAACTGTGCAATAATACACTGCAGAAAGAAAGAAGGAACTTCTACCCTTCTCGACAGCATGGATGGAATGGGACAGCATTATGTTAAGTGAAATAATCCAGGTGGTGAAAGACAAATACCATATGATCTCACTATAAGTGGAACCTAATGAACAAACAAATGAGCAAACCAGAACCAGAGACTTGGAGATAAAGAACAAACTGACAGTTACCGCAGGGGAGGGGCAAGGGGATAAAATGGGAATGAAGGGGAAGCGGGAAGCAAAGGAACACAAACAGAAGACTTCTGGGCATGGACAATGGGGGGGATTGATTGGGGGGGTAGGTGAGAACAATAGGAGAAAAAGTGGGACAACTGTAACTGAAGAAAGGAAGGAAGGAAGGAAGGAAGGGAGGGAGGGAGGGAGGGAGGGAGGAGAAAGAAAAGAGGGGAGGGAAGGAGGGAGAAAAAGGGAGGGAGGGAGGGAGGGAAGGAGGAAAAAATACAAAGTTAAGAAAACATTTCAAAAAACTGTACTTGAAAAATAACTAAATAAAATTTAAAAAAAAGAAAACATTTATGCTGAAGTAGTGTCATCAATATATAAAAACAAATTCTTGATAAAGAAATAGAAGTGCTTCTTTAATAAGGCACTAAATAACGAGATACAGGTCTAATAGCTCTCTTAATTTTGAAGTAGTGATGACTGTAAAATAAACTTGAGACATGCAACAACAACAAACACAGTTTATAGTTCCATTAGCACCTCTAAAGAACACCAGACTTGGAACCAAGATGGGAAATAATTGAAGCAGTTAATTGCTTCCCCTGACAGAGCTATAGAATTAAAAAGCAGGTACAAGACCCTTCTTATCAGTGAGACTGAAGATTTGCAAAATGGATTGTAGCCCAATGCTTTTAGCATATCTATGTAAAGTTGGCTGTGCCAGCCAAATCATTACCAAGTAGCAGTACAGTGGGGCAGGAGGGAACCTAATAATATCTGGTCACCAAGGCAAAAAAAAAAACCCAAAACACTAAGACATCTAAGGGTATGGCATGCTCTCCCTGTCCCCAACCCATCAGTAAAGGTGATTTGAACAGACTAGCATGGTAAGTCTGGGGACAGAATTGGAGAGATATTTTCCCCATAACTTTTCCATTGACTGTACCCTCTGTCAGATACCCACCCGCAACACTGATATTCAAAATATTTGATGAGTGGTAATAAATCAGAAATGTTATCAGCCACAGTACTAGAATATAGCCCTAGATGTCTTTTGCTGTGACAGACAGAACTTGTTTCAGTGGCTAGATTGTGGGGAGTACTGGAAGCAGGATTAAGGTAGCGTTTCTTTATCAAGTGGCATAGAGGATATGAAGGAAAGATTGAGCATGTCATTAATGCTTGCATACACGGTACATCTCACTGATTTCACAGGTGGGAATAACTCCTCTTAACAGAAGATAAGGGCCAAAAGAGATTTCACTCTAAGCAGTTTTTTCAATACATACTCTAGAAAACTGCCTAACTATGAAGGTAGGGCTATCTTTGGGTGAAAATCCTGATCACCACTTTTTCATCATCTAGAAAGAAGAAAGCAAGGAACCTGAAATAGGAATCAAAGGGTATTGGTCCATATCTGAACACAGAGGCCTGTCTGTCAAGTAAAGGTCTCTCTCCTTAGACTGGGTACCACCACCCAACCCCCCACATCACCCCCATGGATCCTCTTTCTACAGACTCATCCATCAATTCACACCTAAATTAACTCAATTCCTCTTCACCTGAAGTGAATGCCACCAAGAGAGAAGGAAATTGGATAATCTAAACCAGGGGTGTCAAACTCATTTTCACCAGGGGCCACATCAGCCTCCTGGTTGCCTTCACAGGGCTGAAATATTTTTAGGACTATAAATGTAACTGCTCCTTAACTAGGGGCAAGGAGCTCAGTGCTGCCACCAGATAGAAACAAGTGCCAGGCTGGATAAAACAAGGTGGGGGGTGGATTTGGCCTTCGGGCCTTGTGTTTGCCACCTGTGATCTAGACCCTGAGACACAGCCTTTACTAGGCAGTAAAAAACATCCCTGGGCCATGCATGGAGCGTTGTGAGCAATAAAAGGGGAGGTGAGCCATTTTAACAACAAATACCAATTTTTTATTATATTTCTAAACAAATATTACAATAATTTTTTCTTGTTCATAAAAAATGTAAATATTTATAACATTATACTTTGGGGAAAAGAAAAACAAAAAGTAAAAGTGAAGAAAAGTGATCAAAACACAATTTGTAGGGCAAAATAAACAGCCTAGTTACATGCCAGCTTGGCCCTAGTAGCTGCTGCCAGAGTTTCAGGCCCTCAATTTCATTAGCAGGAATTCAAAATCTCCTCCAGATTCCACGTGTTCAAGGGAGGGATTTTGGTGACTTCCAAGAAGAGCCTGCAAAAGGAAGAGGTGTTTGCTCAGTATAAAATAGGCCAAAGCCAGCAGGCTTCATGGAATAAATGGGACATAAAACCCCTGGTTCCCTATCTTGCTTTAACCCTGGAACAGAAAGTAAGATTAAAAACCACCTTAATCTTTCTTTTCCCTTAAGTGAAGCTAGTCTGTGCCTCCCCATGACTGAATACAAACCCATCCTCAGCTAGAGCTTGGTACTTGCCGGTGAGAATACTTGAAATGCACAGCCTTGAGCCTATTATTACAAGAACGCAAAGTCAGCAGTACATTCAGCTTCTTGACCAAGGGGTGAAGGTCAGAGGTCTTGTAGCCACTGTAATACTCCAGGGTAGGAGCCTGGAAGAAGCAACATAAATAGTAACTTTTACAAAAGGAAACAAACCCTTCCTCTGTGTCTACTATGCCAAATCCAAACTTCCTATCCGTGATATAGAAAGGAAAGAGAGTCAAACATTTCAAAGACTAACCATCACAGACACAAACCAATTATTATAGGAGAATAGGTTCCAGTCACAAACTACTAGTATGTGTATATCTATATGTACCTGTTGGATATTAGCCCTGGCCATAGATATTCAGGTAAGCTGAAATCCATCACCAAAGAAGCCAAGAACAGGACTGACTTTATAATTTACTCACTCCCAGGTCAAGAGCCAATGTCCAGGCAAACCTCAGAACAAACAAGGCCCCAACATCCAACAGCCAACAGGAATTTAAGGCTGTTCCTCTTCTCTGGTTCTACCTGCTATCGTTCCATACATTCATTTTCTCATTTAATTTTAGGATGCCTATTACATGACAGAAGCAAAATAACAGAGTATTTAACAGCAAACGTTTGGGAGGTAAAATGCTTGGGTTTAAATCCAAATTTAACTAATAGCATGGCCTTGAACTGGCCATTTAACCTCTTGGTGCCTCAGTTTCCCAATCTGCCAAATGGGAATATTACAGTAATTACATTATAAGATTAAATGAGTTAATACATACAAAGCACATGGAACACAGTCTAGCACATACTAAGTGCCTAAATAATGCTAGCTTGGATTAATAATACTACCAAGCCCTGTATAATATGCTGAGAATATAAAGATGACTAAAGCTCCTGTACTTGAGGAGTCTGTAGTTTAATGAGGGGGACAAGACTTGCACACAGAAAATTACAAAATGAGTCAGAAGTGCTATTATGGAAGTGAGCATGGAGCACTGGAGGCACAGGGCAGCAAGAATTTTGTCCAGGCGAGTCACAGAAAGCTTCATAGAAGAAGGAACAACTAGAATAAGTATTGAAAGTCAAGTGGCAGCTCCACAGGTAGAAAAAGGAAGATTTATTCTATAAAGCAGTAATTTTTCTAAAAGTATCTTAAATTATTTTCCCAAACACTCTTTTAAAAAATATCTTACCTGGAAGCCTAAACATCTTACCTGGAATTGGGGACAAGGGTTAAGAAGCCCACCAATTTAAATCCATTTATTTTATAATGGCCTCTGACATTTCTGCAGGAATCCCAGGCCTCTACTGAATACTGTTTGAAAACCACTGCCATGGGCAGTCATTGGCATGCTGAGCAGGGGAGTAACATGCACTACTAACACATTATATTTGATGTGTTAAATAAGATTAATGGTCCCACTGTCATTGCATCAGTTCAGTCCCAAATGCTTCACCTTGACTATTATAAAAACTTACTTGCCAATATTGCCACTTTTACACTATCATCTAGTATACCTGCTATACTGCTATACCAGTTTTTCCAAAACATACATGTAGGGGTATTTAATGCTTCTGCCTAAAAACTTCTAGTGCCTTAGTATAAAATGGGTCTCTCAGCATGACATCAAAGGTCTCTTACAAGCTGACCACATCCTGCAATTCTGGCCTCATGTTTCACCATTACCTATTCATATAGCCTCTGCACTATCCATAGGAAATGTCTTATTTACACCCAATACATCACAGTCTTTTATTATTATCTCCACATCTCTTCAATTATTATTCCCACCAGTAGTGGTTCTAGGATTTCTAAGTTGAAAAGGTTTAAGAGTGGTTGGGTAGAGTATGCTCATTTGCAAGCATACTCTTTCCACTTGGATTGGATGTTACACGTAAGTAACAATTAGTAATTTTCTAAAGTTGCTTTCCATAATTTTTCATGAAATAGAGAAAGCAGCAAATATGAGTTTTAATGTACTGTGGAAAGAGACTCTGGGGGCTTTCCTATTCAGAGAAGAACATATAGTATACTTGTAAGTTCCCTGTTATATACATGGACAGTTGCTTTCAGTACTCTGTTCTTTGGGTCAGTGCTTTTCAAACCCTGTTCCAACAAGCTTCCTCAGAGGGTAACCTGGCTGAAGGGACTGCAAGGGTAAGAGGTGGATTGGGGTCAGGTAGAAAGTAGGGCTACCCTACCCCTGCTGCAACCAAAATAATTTCATATTAGTCTGTTTTGTGATATCAGACTTTTAGGTAAGCTTTCCTTGGAACAAAGGGTACTGTGACTAAGAAAAATGGAATTAAATACTTCAAAAAATTGCTGTAGAAGCCCTTTAGACAGCCAAGACCCTAAATGGCCGAGATGTTAAAGATTTCATAACTATGGGTACACAGCAGTTTTGCCACCAAATCTTCCATAGCCTAAATTTACACCTTCCTCCTAAGCTGACCCTGTGCTTCTGAATCCCTACCCTGTGTCCCTAGGCAAGTGTTTACCAGGTGTCCAAGATTCTTCATGTAGAGGGCCAGGAGGAAGGAACCAGCAGCTAGCTTGGAAGCCCTTTCCTGGATATAGTCATATTCCTGTAGGGTCATCTCACAGATGAAGCGGGATAACAGCAATGTATCCATGTTGACGCGGAAACACTAAAGGGAGGAAGTAAACCAGTTCAGCAAGCAACTCAGAAAACCAGGACACCAAGCAGAAAACCCCTTGCACCCAACTCTCTCCAGTTACCCCACCTCAAGCCTAAATGGCTCTCTAACTAAACAATGGCTCTCCTGCCATCATGATTCACACTAAGACACCCTACCCATGAAAGCACAGAATATTATTAAGAGGGGTGGATTCTGAAATCAGCAGTGGGATTCACCACTTTTAGGAATTTTAACCAAATTACCAAGTGTGATTGTGGAATCTTCCCACCTACTCTTTCTGTAGATGTCATCCTTTCAAGAGCCAAAGCCCTCCAACTGTAACTTTGTACCTGGTTCTACCCTGAGGTATTTCATGCTCCAAAAGAACTCCTTCCCCTCTCATTTGTATCTTTAAAAAATTATAACCTATAACACACACACAGAGAAAAAGTGCACAACACCCATTTGTAGAATGCAATGAATAATTATAAAGTGACCTCCCCTGTAACCAATACTCAGGTAAAAGAAAAGTTTACCAACATCTCCCCCAAACTCTTCACATGTCCCTTCCTGATTTTCTTTTAACTTAATTGAAATAATAAATATAATTATTTATGTTAAACTAATATTCAGTTCAGTTTTGGGAAAACTTTAAATGTTTGAAGCACTTAGATATAGGAATCTAGTTTTTCAACTACAAACATAAAATCTAAATATTATTTCCAATAACAATTTAACATTCTAATTGACATATGCTATAAGTGGAAAATATGCGACAGATATCAAATATTTACATAAAAAAGAATGTAAAATATTTCAGTATTTGGTGTTTTGTCACACATAAAAATAATATTTTAGGTTAGATAAAATACATTATTAAAATTCTTAAAAAAAGAATCTTCTCTCCTCTCCTACTTTGCCCTTGCCTCAAAACTTTATAGGCACATTGTGCAAACCTCCAATTTTCTTCCTCCTACACTTCATAAAGATTGCCAGTCAAGGAGGGTGGATTGAAATTCCTCTGTCCCTGGTTGTCCCTTTCCCTCTCCCTACTGCTCAGACAAGCATTCTGGGTATGGAGGAGACAAACCCAGCAGCTAGAATGGAGATGTGACTCCTTTCTCTTACCACAGAATATCTGCGCAGAAAATGATAGGCGACAGGAATGTTGATATCAAATTCGAGGGTTTTCAGGATGCTGATTTCCATGGCAAGCATCTCATCTCGCTGATAAGCATCATTACAGATGTATAGGAAGTCATCTAGACCAGGTGGAAAGGACTCCTACAGGTGGAGAGGACAAGTAGTCATAGCCAGACCAAGAGAGCCCACTTCTCTCTGCTTGGAGATGAAAGGCAGAGAGGGAGGGGGAAGGATAGTAGGCAATAACATTTCTTGGAATAAACCTTCAGGTCAGCTCTGAGAGCCAACTTCTGGTTGATTTGAGTAGCCCGTCTGAAAAACAAAATGAAAGAAACAGAAGAGATCTGCCTCAAAACTGCACCACTGGAGAAATGATGGGGCCTCTCGGGATGGATTCTTACAGTGTTGGAAGCACATAATATGGCACAAGGACTGGGATCACTGATTTCTCTTCTAATGGGTGTGAGGCAGGAATGGGAAATCTAAGGCCTTCTCTGGAGGATGGGAGGGAAGAAGACCACAAAAATTGAAACTAGAGATAGAAAATAAGTCCTCACTATGTGTCCTAGTCTCAGGGAAACAAATAAGAATGCTTAGGAGGGGGCTTAATAGGCAGTGAGAGAGATGCAGGCAGGCACAGAGGGATCCTAAGCCAAGACTGAGGATTACAGAGGGTAGGAACATGTGCATGATGGCTAGACTGGGAAGATCCATACCAACCCAGTGGTGAGAAGAACCCTATCTTGGAGCACCTTCTCATGTCCTGGCCTCTGCAGACTGAACCTTGGTTTTGGGGAGCGGACTGGGAGGCAGAAAGGCCACTCTATTCTTTCTCTAAATGTATCTGCCTACCAACCCCACCCTTGTTCCCAAATTTTTCTGTCTATTTTCAGATAACAAACTGGACCAACCCTCTGTTTTTTTAGACCAATTTTAGAAAATTGATACCTAGAAAGAAAAAGTAACTCAATAGCCTAGTGGTAAGACCAGGGCAAGAAACTCTCCCTTTCATTGCTCTACTCACCAGCTCCTTCCTTTCTTCTCTTCTTATACCATCTCTACACATCCCCTTGTGAAAGTCTTTCTGTACACAACCCTGTGAGGAGAAGATACCCCTTCTCCAGAACACTTAGTGTAGGCCCCTTATCCTGGCAACCAAAAAAGGTGTGTTCCTGGTTCCAAGATTAGCTGAGAAGTGCCCCCTCTTACTTTCCTCCTCCCTCCTGCTCTCTAGGGACCCCAGCTGCTTTTTTAATACCCTTGAGGCTGAGGCATAAATTACTTGCTCAAAACATAAAATAAGGCCATATGTAGGGAAAGGGGGAGGAGGAAGAAGAGGTAGTAGACAGAGGGAAGAAGAAGGAAGGAGAGGGAAGGGGAACAAGGGAATGAACCAGGGAGTGACTGAGTGGGCAGTGCAGGAAATTAACAAGAAAGCAAGAGAGGAAGGGAGAATAGTGAGGGAGAACAAGGGAAGTAGGAGAATAGGGATTGAGGGTGCTCAGTAGGAAAGGAAGGGGCAAAAGAGAAGAGGAGAGAAGGAATTAGCAGAAAAGAGGAGAAAGAAGCAAGATAAGGGAGAAGCCAAAGAAGGGGAGGGAGCAAGGCACAAGAGAAGCAAGGTGGGGGAGGAAGGGACAGACAAGAGAGAGATGGGGAGAGGTTGGGATGAAGGGGGGAGAGTTAGCAAAGAAACGGGGGGAAAAGGAGGGAGGGACAGTTGATGGGAGGGAGTAGCGTGGAGTGTGACTGAGTGAAGGAAGAAGTGAGGGTGGGAAGGTGGCAGGGAAGGAGACACAGGAATGAGGGATGTAACAAAAATGGGAGGAAGAGAGGGAGGAAAGGAACTAGTGAGCGAGGGAAGGATGGAGCAGGGAATGGAACAAGGGAGCAAGTGAGCAGTTAAGGGAGTGAGTAAGGGGGTAGCCAGAACGAGAAGGAAAATACCATAGAGGGAGGGAGTCCAGTATGGACTGAGTACACAAAGTAGGGATGGAGGGATCGAGGGATGAATTAATAGAAGGCTGGAGAAAGATTGCCAGAGAGTGAAGGCATAAGTGATAGAGGGCAGAAGTGAAGTGAGGGAAAGGGCAGCAAGAGAGGGAGGGGAAAAAGAAATGTGGAGCAAAGGAGAAAAGGTTGGAGAAAAGGAAGGGAGGTACTGCCAGATGTAGGTGAGGGGTGAGTGAGCAAAGGAGGGAGGAAGTGGACAGAACACAAAAACAATCCCACAGTTCCAAAGTTCTTTGAATCCAATAAAAGTGGCTATTTCCTCTCTGCTCTTAGACCCTAAGCCAATACAACTAGCCAATCTGAAGAAAAAATGGGAGTTGAACAGGATCATTTGGCATCTAAAGAACAGGAAAGAATGAGAGAAATTAGATGGATTATGGCTAAGAAGGAAAGTCAGGCTACTTGATTTTATACTACCACTTCAAAAATGACATTTCACCTGGACTCACTACCAGGCCATTTTCTCTTAAATATCTCCAGCACCCAGGTTTGGAAATTCTTTCTTTTATATGCAGTTTAAGATTCTACTACATGGAGATGGAGTTGATGGAAGGATAAAAGGGCTGGGGATAAAGAATCATGGACCAAAAGGAAGCTTTAAAAAGAACAATCCATTGAATTAGGCACATGCCCACATACATGAATCTTAGAGCAAATGGAAGAACCTGGTCAGTGCCAGAAAACAAATACAACACTACTGCCACCCAACACCAGCTTTCCTCTTGGGAAAGACAGACAAAAAAATTGGTAGAAACAGTTATTTGTATAGAGACTTAGGTATAAATATATGCAAACATATATATATTTGTGTGTATGTATGTACATATATATACACATATACATACTCATATACATATGCATAGGCATATGTATGTACATGACTTGGATAGAAACCTGACTGATTAGTTTTCTCCAGGTCCTATGGACTCCAGCTTACCTCAAATTTTGCTGCAATCATAAAAGCAGTGGAACCAAGGAGTTGTAGTTTGTCTTTCTTGCACATTACCTTCATAAGGTAGTGATCCACCAGTTTCACTGCCAAGTAGAGGGTCTCATGACTCACCTTAAAGGCAACCTGGAGGAATATACAAATAGGACAAATAGCTGCATATTGACCAACTCCAAAATCATATCCAGATAAATCTAACAACCTGGTCTGCAGCACTGAGAACAGTAGAGTTATTACCAAAACTAGCCAGATGAGTTTCTGCTCTGAACACTTGAACAACTTTATGTAGGTGCCTGACTATATCTCCTGTGCCTTTAAGGACCCTGGTATTTTCTATCCCTACATTTAGGTAGGTGATCAGTCTTACAAATCAGAGAGAGAGGCTCTACCTTCTCTATGAACACCTTGAGAGAACACACCCTCTCTCCTTGATCTCCAATACATTCTTAGATTCTTGGTTTCCCCATTTGCTACTACCTTATACAGTGAGTTCCCAAAAGAGATCATGTTTATTTAGCTCTGAAATAGAGACTTGTTTGCTTATTTATTAGTTTATTTATTCATTACTATCTCTTACCAACTAGTTAAGCTATTAGAATATACAGATTTGTAGCAAGTACCAATGGCACCATTTGGAAGTAAGCTGAGGGGCTGAAGAAGCCAGAATGAGATTAAAGAATTAGTAGCACAACCCTCCTTTCCTTTTTATATATCCTTGTCTTGCCTTTACCAATTCCAATAAACAATCTCCTATAAAAGTAGTCCCAGAGGATGGAGGATTGAGCGAAAAGGAAAAAGGATGTATGGACATGACAATGGTACGGTGATTGCTGAGGAGAGGGAGGTATAAGGGAACTAAATGGTAATGGAAAAAATACAATAAATATTTTTTAAAGTAATCCCACAAGTACTGCTGGCCTGTATGGCAGTTTTGTGAAAATTAGAAAAAAGGTACCTTCTTTGGGTGAATGCAGCTCTGAAGGTACACAATACCTATATATGAATTAGCAAAAGGTGCCCCCATCTCAGGGCATAGTAACCCCACAGCCAGAATGCATGGCTTGGCAAACAGTGTAAGATGGATTCCAATATCTGCTTTTTCTTTGGCTGGAGGCAATGTATAGCCAAAATTTACACTGTACACATGGGTCCTACCCAAACCTGATGCTTTTCCCTCAGAACCCCTTAGGTTCTTAGAGTACAAGAAGAATAAAATCTGGAAGCCCAACACATCAATCAATGCTTGAACCCTTTCTTTAATGTCTCTACCAAATAGTTCAGTTCCTGCCATAAAACCTACAAATACAGCTTGATCTCACCTTGAGTAGTTGTAACAGAAAAGTTTTCCTTATGTTGAGTAGTAGTCACCCTCCCTGAAAGTTTTACCTATGTCATTAGGATTCCTTTGTGTAGGCTACTGTTACTGATTGGAGCCTAGCTGACCACAATGTATGTAGATCAATAAAAAGCTTTGGAGGAATGGATATTAGCATACATGAATAGTTATCAGAAGAAGGTTGAAAATATTGGTTCATCAATAATAGATACATTAAGTTTCTGAATAACAAAAACACTAATAAACTGCTCCTGTTGTTCCTAGATTATGGCCTTGGAAATTCTCAGAAATCTGTCTTCAATAGTTTCCTATTATTGCTGTAATAAACTATTAAGCACTAGGGGCTAAAGACAATACAAATTCATTATCTTATGAATCTGGAGTTCAGAAGTTCAAAATAGAACTCACTGGACTAAAAAAAAATCAAAGTGTTAGCAGGGCTATGTTTCTTTGTGGAAGTTCTGATGAAGAATCCTTTTTCTAGCTTCTAGAAGATTCTTGCATTCCTTGGTTTGTGGGGTCCCTTCCATCTTCAAAGACAACAATGGCCAGCCAAGTCTTCCTCACACCACATCACTTTCTGACTCCCTCTTCTACATTTGAGAACTCCTGTGATTAGTTTGGGCCCATTTGCATAACCCAGGGTAATTACCTTATCTTTTTTAAGAATGTTTTATTGATAATGTTGTTACAGTTGTCCCAAGTTTTCCTCCTTCGCCCCTCTCTCCCCCATACCCCCCTTCCCTCCAGCAATCCTCACCCTTAGTTCATGTCCATGGGTTGTACATGTAGTTCTTTGGCTTCTCCATTTCCTATACTATTCTTAACATCCCCTTATTTTGTACCTACCAATTATGCTTTTTAAATCCTGCACAGTTTCCCTCATTTTACCCCTTCCCCCTCCCAGCTGATTACCCTCCAAATGGTCTTCATATCTATGATTCTGTTCCTGTTCTGGTTGTTTGTTTAGTTTGTTTTATTTTATAGATTCAATAGTTGACAGATATGTGTTTATTGCCATTTTATTGCTCATAGTTTTTAGTCTTCTTTTTCTTAAATAAATCCCTCTAATATTTCATGTAATAATGGCATGGTAATGACGAACTCCTTTAGCTTTACCTTGCCTGGGAAGCACTTTATCTACCCTTCAATTCTAAATGAAACCTTTGCTGGATAGAGTCATCTTGGTTGTAGGTCCTAGCTTTCCATCAATTTGAATACTTCTTGCCAGTTCCCTCTTGCCTGCAAAGTTTCTTTTGAGAAAGCAGCCAACAGACTTAAAGGAAGTTCTTTGTAGGTAACTATCTGCTTTTCTCTTTTTGCTTTTAAGATTCTGTCTTTATACTTAACCTTTGGCATTTTCATTATGATGTATTTTGGTGTGGTCCTCTTTTGGTCAAACGTGTTTGGGACACTCTGTGCTTCCTGGACTTGTATGTCTATTTCCTTTCCAAAATTAGGGGAGTTTTCTTTCATTATTTTTTTCAAATAAGTTTTCAAGTTCTTGTTCTCCCTCTTCTTCTTCTGGCATCCCTATGATTCAGATGCTGGCATGTTTGGAAATGTCCCAGAGTCTTCTTATACTATCCTCATTTTTTTTTTGAATTCTTGTTAATTCTTTCTGTTCTGGTTGAATGCTTATTTCTTCCTTATGTTCCAAATTGTTGATTTGAATCTCCGTTTCCTTCCCTTCACTTGTTGGTTCCCTGTAGATTTCTCTTTATTTCACTTAGCATAAACTTCATTTCTTCCTTTATATTGTTGCTGTACTTGATGAATTCTTTGAGCATCTTGATCACCAGTGTTTTGACTCTGCATCTGATAGGATGGCTATCTCTGTTTCATTTAGTTATTTATCTGGGGTTTTCTTCTGTTCTTTCATTTGGGCCATATTTCTTTGTCTCCTTAATTTGGCAGCTTTCCTGTGTTTGTTTCTATATGTTAGATAGAGTCTAATCTAAAAGTCTAGATTATTTTAAATGACAATAGAAGAAATAAACTAAAAGTATATGAATAATCACCTTTTACTTGAGGAACAATTAATAGATCAGATTAACCTAAGGGGTTGGTTAACTAAATAATGACTACATTATATAATAAAATATTACACAACAGTATAAAAGAATGAGGTAGATCTATATTTAAAAGGAAAGATTACTAAGACTTATTCTTAAGAGAAAAGAGCAAGTTGCAGAGCAATGTGTACAGTATGACCTATGCATATAAGAAAAATATCATAAAACCTACACTCATTAAAAAGCTATATTTTATACATGCATATATGTACATATGTTTAGGCCTTTATGTATTACTCATATAATTTAAGATTTTTAAAGAAAGGATAGTTAAATATTAATAAAAGTGATACGACACAAAAGGATATCTAAAAGGATACACTCTAAACTACAGTTGCTACTTCTGAGGAAAAAGAATAGAGGAAAAGGGTTGTTGATTTTATGCAAACACACATACACACACAAATACACACACATACTACAACATCTATTCACTTTGTAGTTTAGAAAAGTGTATGGGGCAGAGGGGTTAAGGTAAAATGAAGGGGGTGAAGAATTGCCAGGAGAATTAACTAAACAACAATAACTATGGGTGGTTCCCACATTGCTCTCAGACTTTGATAAGCAGAAAAAATAAATAAGCATATAAATTATATAAGAATTATTAAACTATAATTAATTGACATAATGATCTTTGTACCTAAAGAGAACACATATTTTCTTCAAACATCAGTGAATCATTTATAAAAACCCATTATGTCTGAAGCCATGAACAAAACCTCATTAACTTAAGAAGAGCAAAAATCATCATTCACGTCACATTCTCAATACACAATACAATAAATCTAAAAATTGGTAATAAAAGGAAAAACCAAATACCCAATGAAAAGCAAAGCACTTGAAAAATGATAAGCACTATTCTTTTCTTAAATTTTATTTTATTTTTGGAGAGAGGGGAAGGAAGGGAGAAAGAGAAGGAAAAAAACATCAATATGTGGTTGCCTCTCGTGCACCACCAACCAGGGACCCACCCCACAATACAGGCTGGTGCCCTGACTGGTGACTGAACCAGCAGTCCTTTGGTTCTCAGGCTGGCACTCAATCCACTGAGCAACAACAACCAGAGTGGCACAATTCTTTAAAAAAAAAAGAAAACAAAAACTGGGTCAAAAAGGAAGTAAAAATTGTAATTGCAGTTGATTGCGAAAAAAAAAGATAACTACAACACTCTCTTTCAAAACTAATGAGATGTAGTCAAAACTGGTTACTTACAAGAAAATGTAGAGCTTTGGAGCTTTTATTATGAAGTCAGAAATAATTAAAATAGACTACCCATTCATTTCAAGAATCTAGAGAAAAACAACAAAATAAGTCTAACTAAAATATAAAGATGAAAGCAGATGTTAATGAAATTTTGAAATGAAACACTTATACATTTATCCATGAGCTGGTTCTTTGACCACAAGACTGAACAAATATTTTGTGAGGAAAGAAAGTATGTACATGCAACATTTTGAATGAGAAAAATAATTATAAAAGATAATAAAATAATACCATACACAATCTATAATAACAACTAAAAATATCCATGAAATTATTTTTAGGAAAACATAACTACAAAACTGACTCAAGAAGAAGAGTAAAACCTTAGTAATAAGTCAATGACCATCAACATTATTAGGAAAAGTTATTAAAGAAAGATACACATAAATAGCATCATGTATCAATGGGTTCATGAGAAAGTTCTTCAAGGAAAATAAAATTCCTGTGTTGCC